GTCCGGCCTGGCAGGAGAACCCTGTGCGGGAAGGCCCCGAGCCGGTCCAGACGCGGTGTCCCAGTAGAGCCCCGCTCGCCGCTTCGCCACCGGGCTTGTTTGTGCAGACACATCCGGGCTGCCCACGCTGGCCCTTTGGCGCTCAAGGCCTTGTGCCCGAGCCAGCAGCGCGGTATTGCCGCCAGAAGCGCTGAGTTCTTACAGGAGAGCGCCAGGGCTTTTGCGGAAATTCAAGCAGCCAGTGTAGACACAGCCAGTGACTCCGGGAGTTGTGTCCAGACTGACTGAAAAGAGTTATAATGGGCGCTCACTGAGCAAGAAAGTGGCAGATAAACCGAGGAGTCCTGTGGCTCGTCAGAGACGAGGCAGCTACCAAAGCAGGTTTTTACTCACGAAAGCTTGTGTCCAAATGAATCTCTCTAGGGTGCCACAGGACTCCTCATTGTTTTTGCAGATACAGACTAACGGGTGTATCTGAACTAAAACTTGTCAAAATGGCAGATGTAAGTCAGTGTTGATAAGTGCAGAGTAATGCACGTTGGGAAAAATAATCTCAATTATACGTGCAAAACGATGTGGTCTAAATTAGCAGTTACCATTCAGGAAACCAATATCTGGGTGAGGGGGGATAGTTCTGTTGGAGAACAGCTGGTCAATGTGCATCAGCAGTTAAAAAAGCCAATAAAATGTTAGGAACTGCTAGGACAGGGATAGATAGTAAAATAGCAAATATGTTGCTAGATAAATCCCTGGTACACTCAGACTTTGAGGCTACGTCTACATTGCAGATTTTTGCGCAAGAACAGGTGTTCTTGCGCAGAAACTTGCAAAGCGTCTAGGCTGCACATGCATTCTTGTGCAAGTAAATTTACAGTAAAGTGTTGGAACAGAGGGCTTCTTGCGCAAGAATTATTCCTTTCCCTGTGAGGAATAAGCCCTCTTGTGCAAGAACTCGTCAACAAGGAGGCAGTGTGGACGGGCAACAGGGGTTTCTTGCTCAAGAAAGCCCGATATCTAAAATGCCCGTCAGAGCTTTCCTGCGCAGGAGAGCGTCCATACTACCATGTGCGCTCTTGCAGAAAAGCACTTCTCTTGTGCAACAGCACATGGCAGTGCAGAGACACTGTTGCGCAAGACCTTTTGCACAAGAACTAGGGAAGGGCAGTAGAAATTATTAGGGGTATGCAACAGCTTCCATATAAGGAGAAATTAAAAACACTGGGGCTGTGTCTAGTTGCTTTTGTGGAAAAAATTGCCAGGGCTGTGTCTAGACTGGCAAGTTTTTCCGCAAAACCATCTGGCTGCTTGAATTCCCGCAAGAATACTAACAATCTCATGTAAGATCGTCAGTGTTCTTGTGGAAATACTGTGCTGCTCCCGTTCGGGCAAAAGCCCTCTTGCGCAAATCATTTGCGCAAGAGGGCCAGTGTAGACAGCACAGTAATGTTTTGCGTAAAAAAGCCCCGATGGCTAAAATGGCGATTGGGGCTTTTTTGCGCAAAAGCGCGTCTAGATTGGCACGGACGCCTTTCCGCAAAAAGTGCTTTTGCAGAAAAGCATCTGTGCCAATCTAGATGCTCTTTTCCGAAAATGCTTTTAACGGAAAGTTTTCCATTAAATGCATTTCCAGAAAATCATGCCAGTGTAGACGTAGCCCAGCTGTCTACACTGGCCACTTGAATTTCTGCAAGAACACTGACTTCCTACTGTCTGAAATCAGTGCTTCTTGTGGAAACACTATGCTGCTCCCATTCGGGCAAAAGTCCTTTTGTGCAAAGCAGTGAGTTCTGGTTCAAACAGTAGTACATACTCACACACAGATCTTTCACCTGGAATCCTCCTGCTTCTAACAGGAGAATTCAGTGATCACTGTTTGATTTCTGAATCAATGTAGCGTGTTAGTCTGAAATGTAGCGTGTTAGTCTGGTGTAGCTGAAACAAAATGCAGGACTATGTAGCACTTTAAAGGCTAACAAGATGGTTTATTAGATGACGAGCTTTCATGGGCCAGACCCACTTCCTCAGATCAAATAGTAGAAGAAAATAGTCACAACCATATATACCAAAGGATACAATTAAAAAATGAACACATATGAAAAGGACGAATCAAA